TAATAGAAATGGATTAATTTAAGATGTAAGAGCTAGCTAGGAATACTCCTAAGAGGCTGGCCAAACAGTGTAATATAGTTTTTGTATGATTATTCAGGTCTGGGGGGCTGGTAAACAAAAGCACTGTCTTCATTTGTAGTGGAGGCTAGGGCAACTATCTGTGGGTAGGAACCTGAACAGGCCTTAGCTAGGAGTAGAATTTTACATTATGGTTAATAACAGTTAAACCTGTTAATGAATCCTTATGTCCTTTCAGTTAAACCCTTGGGCTCCCTCAATTAAATATGACAGTAGTGAGCTTAAAACCACATCAGTATCCATGGAAATATTAATAAATAGATAAGTTAGGGAATCTAATCCTCGTCTAATCATGAGGCAGCACCACGCTTGCTTTAGATCTCTGTGGCCAGCTCCCCCAGGCTTTTACAAATTTGGACTTCATTTCTCAGGACCCTCACTTTCTCCTAATGGACAGGATGTAAGTGGAACCACAGTGCCCAACTGTGTGGCTAATTTCTTCCCCATTCCACATTTTTTTCAACTGACCTTGTAAATTTAACCTCACTTGCTTTCTTCCAGAATGTTTAGATTTTATAATTTTGGTCAACATTTTGCTGAGATTCGTTATTTTCTGGGAAGAATTTCAGGAATAATCTTAATTCATGTTATAATTTTGATTTGGTCCCTCTCTTTATCTCTTTCCCCACCATGTTATGCCTATAAGCTCACACATGCACAGTTTTGACTATATAGATATTATAAGAAGGATTTTAAGAACAAAAAGTGTGCTCTGCTTGGTTTGTTCACTTTTCACTGTACAGTCCCTGTATGTGGGGTTTAAATATTTGAAACATGTTTATACAGGAAGCGGAGAAACACAAATATAAAAATAGGAGAAAGCCTTTAAGACATCAGAAAAGCAGCTGTCGAGATGGCTCAGTGGTTAAAAATGCAGGCTGCTCTTTCAGAGGACCCAGGTTCATTTCCCAGCACCCACACAACAGCTTACAACTGTCTGTAACTCCATTTCCAGGGGATCTGACACCTTCTCACCAATGCACATAAAATAAAGTTAAATAGATTATTTTAAAAATTAGAAAAAGACATCAGAAGAATGGTTATTTTAGGAAGAGCTAGTGAAATATCGATGAATAAGAAAAACTATTTGTGAACTATAAAGAATCAGTGGAGCAGAATTCTAGAATTAAATGCTGTTATTGAAAACGAGGAAGAAGCAACAACAGTAACAAATGGAAGGAATGAATACTTCAGGGGCAGCAACACAAAAGTCTCCCCTTACACTTTAAGAGAAGTATTCAGTCTTCTTCTTAGTTAGAGACAGTAGAAATTTACACACGAAGACTCCTGTTTTCACTTTCTTTTCTACAACTGGATTCCCATGTACTCAGGAAACTCCTTCTTGCTTATGGCAGAATACACTGGCTACAGCAATAACCTTTATCTCTACAGGTTCAAAGCAGTCTCCTCAGCAATTACACAACCTTTTCTATGAAGTCCTAATGAAGAAGTCAAACAGATAAATCTGTTAGACTTCTGATGCTCAAGGTAGAGTTAAGGGCACCACACTTAACTTTCTGTTTAAAAACTGAAACACTGAATAAACTATATGAGATAAAATAAAAATTTACAGTAACTGGACAATAAGCAATCTGGGTATTGCATCCCGAAAGAAAATAAAAGCAAAGTAGAAAGCAGTAACGGGAGGAGGGATGGAGAGAAGAAGGGAGTGAACAAGGGGAAGACAGGCAGGAAGACATCAAGCTTTAAATGCACTAATACACTAATGCACTAATGCAGCAGAGCTGGAAACAGTTTCCAGACTTCCTGTGTAGAAGGTAGAGCCAAGAAGACAGGCTGTCCTACTGAGAGGAGGATTTTGAGCCTGGTATACAGGGCTGGGACTTGTGAGGCCCACCAGAGAGTAGAGAATAGCTCTGCTGGAGACTAAGGATTTTCACTGGCTATTAGTCTTCCCAGGCTTGAGAGCAAGCCACCCGAGACTGCGTTCAGAAACCACTAGAAATCAGTATGTAGACAGTTCCTGGATGTGACTGGAAATGGCTTGTGTTCATACCAGCCTGAGAGGAATGGAGGAGAATACTAAAAAGTAGGGTCAAGTTGGCCCTAAAGACTGATTAATCTAGCAAAGCTAAAAAGCAGGTCTCAGAATGGTCCAACTGACTTCAAATTATTCAGTTGTACCTAATAATACAATCAAATTATTCAGAAGAATAAAAGAAAGTCAACAACAGACAAAAAACCCATACTTTCCTTCTAAAAATATAAAAATATTAATAAATGCAAACAGACAGAAAAGAGGATACTAGAATACAAGGATGCTAACCTAACTATGATGAACATGTTTTGTATGTTTGAGAAAACTTTGAGACTTGGACCCTGTCACAAGGGGAATGGAAGCCATAATAAACAAAGCAAATGCTACCTGTGCTGGCAAATTTTTGCCAACCTGCCTGGATTTAGAACTACCTAGGAAACAGATGTGTGGGCACATCTGGGAAGGAATTTCCAGAGAGTGTTAACTGAGGAGAGAAGACCCATCCTGAATGGGCAGCACCATGCTATGGGCTGGAATGCTGGACCAAATAAATAGGAGGACTCAAGCTGAGTGCTAGCATTTCTTCTCTGCAATCCCGACTGCAAACACAAAGTGAGCAGCTGCCTGGGATGCTACCATGACTTGGTCGCCTGCCATGATGAACCGTATCCCTTCTTAAATCATGAACCCAGATCAAGCCTTCCCTCCTGTAGTTGCATTTGTCAAGGATTTTGTCACAACCAAGAGAAGATTGACTACTATAGTTCTCAAATAAATAGAAACTCAATGATTGCACTGCCCTAAACTGGTGTGACAGGTCATTTTGATCGCCAACTTGATTTGATTGGAAATAAACTAGGAGACATGCCTCTGTCTGTGAAGGTGTTTCCAGGAGAGGCTAAGTGAGGGGAAGGAAGACTCTCCCATTGAATAGATGAAACTTTCTGGCAGCAGGTCTGATATAAAGAGGTCTAAGAGAAAAGCATTGCTAACCTGCAAGCATACCTTCTTCTTGTTGAGCGGGGCTATCCATTTTTGTTGCTGCTTCCATTTCTTTCCTCCCAACAGAACCCAGCCTTTCCTGCCTTCAAAGAAGACTGAAGATCTGTGGATCTCCAGGAGCTCTTTGAGGCTTTTGCACCAACCTCATGGGATGATCAGCCACTGGGTTGGCAACCTCTCCATTATGCAAATAGCCTTGGTTGGACTACCACATGGGTATTGTGTAAACCAATCTAATAAAATCCCCTTAGTAATAAACATATTGTTTATTATCAGTTCTGTTAAAAACCCAACTAATACAGTAAGTTTATCAGTAAACTGGCCACTAAAGACTACATGATCAGTAAATTTGAAGAAAGTAGGAGGAAATACCTAAATTAAACAACTTAGGAAAATATACTGAAGGAAATAACTGATCTCCAGTGATTTATTACCCACAAGTAAATTGTCTAATATATGTTTAATTAGCAGAAAGGGAAGCAAGGACAAAAATATCTGAAGAAATACTGTTCAAAAAATTCCAAATTAGATGTAAATCAGAAACCCATAATTTTAAGAAATTCAATTAATATGAGAGAGAAAAAGTGAAGAAATTAGGATGAAACAAATTATTGAGAACCACAAATAAAAAGCCTTAGAAGTAGAAAGAAAGTATACACATATGCATAGAAGAACAAAGTTAGGAATGACAGAAGAATTCTTACCAATTACTAGGCAAGTTGGAAGAAAATGGAGAGACTTTTAATGCACTAAAAGAAACTTTTCACCTAGAATATTTTTTTATCTGGTCAAAAATGGAAATGAAAAACGAGACAGATGTACAGTTTTTGTTTGAACATGAAATGCCCCCCATAAATTAATGTATTTGATCCTGTGGTCCCCAGCTGATGGCTCTGTTAGGAAAGACTGTAGCCCCTTCAAGAGGTGAATCCTTGCTGGAGGAAGTGAGGGCCTGGGGACAGGCTTTGGGCTTTTTAGCCGAGCAGCATTTCCTGCTCCTCCCTCTGCCTTCCCTGCCTGTTGCTCTGGCCTGGCTTCTACAGGGGTCTCTATCTCTCTGGAACTGTAAGTCTAAACAACCTCTTTCTTACATTGGTTTTTATTGAGGCGCTTTATCGCAAAAGAAAAGGAAAGAAACCAGTAGAGGAAGTGGTACTGAGAAGTGTCGCCCTTGCAGTGGCTAGCCTGAGTGTGTGGCTTATAGGCGTCTGTTTCGTGGAAGGGTCATGTAAACTTTTGGAACTTTTGGCTAGAAAAGCCATTAGGTGCTGTAAGCACAAATTAATGGACTGACCTATTGGGAACCTGGGAGAAAGCAATACTGAGAAAAATGTGAACAGTGGAGGTCTGGTACTTGGGGTTTCAAAGGGAAACAAGGATCCTATTGGGAGCCGGACTAGGGGCCACTGACAAAGAATCCAGCTGCATTCTGTCAGTGTTCTGGGAATCTAGGTCAAGATTACAAAGTAGTTGACTAATTCCTTTGGTGGGGGAAGAAATTTCAATAGTGTAACATCAAGTCTGTGAAATCATTATTACCAATCATCACATAGTATACTTGTGTGGGTCTACAGTGAAAAAGAACAGGTGGAGGGGTAGAAAAAAAAATTTTAATGTACAATTTAGGGAGGAAATGGGCGCTAAAGTTACAACCTGTGCTGGAAAAGAGGCTATAGTCACTAATGAGATCAACACTGTTAAAGAGAAAGCTCCTGCTCTGCAATGGAATGATAGGAAGGTCCTGAGGGTAAGATTCTACCCAACAGTGTCTCCAGTTGTGAAAGGTGAAAGGCAAGAGTCTAAGGGGTTTCCTGCTCTTGGACCGTTTTCAACATAAAGAGATGGCTGCCACTGTGGTCTGAGGAAGCAGGTTTGCCCCGAGCTAGCAGCATAACTTGATAGAGTCCTCTGTGTCCTACAGGTTTGGAGGTGTAGAAGACCCAATACCGAAGTGGTTGGTGGATTCTTCTTCTGTGGTTTGGGAGAGCCGTGAGACAAGGCAACCCCGGACAGGGTTGGAATGCCTCTGAGGAGATCCCGAGAGACCCTGTCATGCCCTGGCAAAGATGCAGTCTCTAATCAGTGATTGTGATTTAACATGTAAGGTTTGGGGGATTTGTTGTTTGTTTTGTATTTAGCGGGTGTTTGCGATTTGTCATATGGAGGACGTTTGATGCAAGTTTTTTCAGGCATAATGCATGCTTATTTTGCCTACACGTTCATACCACAGTTCATGGAAGGAAGTCAGAGCAGGAGCTCTGGCAGGACTAGAACCTGGAGGCAGAAGCTGATACAGAGGCCATGGAGGAAGGCTAGCCTAGTGTCTTGCTCCTTGCGCCTTGCTTAGCCCGACCATTTGACCAGGGTGATACTGTCTCAACTAATCTGGGCCTTCTACATCAATCACCAGTTACGGAAATGCTCTACAGGCTTGCCCAGAACTAGACGCTAAGAAGGTATTTTCTCAGGTGCAGTGTAATCTTCTCAGCTTGTGTTAACATTAAAAGCTAGCCAGCACACTATTAGTACTTTTTGTCATAAAATCTACCCCGTTTGCAATCTAGTCTAGATGTTACTTTTATTTTACTTTTGCTTTTCTGACAGAAGATCTGGCTTTGTGGTCTAGGCTAGCCTCAAAACCATAATCTTCCAGTTTTGGTCTCCAGGAGTGTTGGGTTGCAGGCAGGTGCAACTGGGCTTGCTGCCGGTAGCTTTTTTATTTAGCGAATGTTTAGCTGATATTGTGTGAATGTTTCCTGGGCTATATGAACAAACATTTACCACAGACAGAGGACCCATGACAGAACAGAGTAATCACACCACCCAGGTCTAGCTTTTTGAACCAAGAAGCATTTGGGGTTATTTAAAAAGAGCATGGATGAGGACCTGGTGATGTTTTGTTTGTGTCTTAACAAATAAAGCTTGCCTGAAGGTCAGAGTGATGAGCGAAGACACCAGTGGCCAGGCAGTGGTGGCACACCTTTGACCTCAGGATTTAGGAGGCAGAAACAGACCAAACAGACCGATCTCTGTTAGTTCAAGGCCACCCTGGGCTACACGAAATTGATTCAGTCGAGAAAAGAAACAGAGCTCACACAAAGGTAATCCCAGTACTTGAGATCACATGCCTTTAATCCCACACTAGGGAGGTAGAGACAGGAGTGATGTGACTGAATGGAGAGAGGAATATAAGGCAGGAGGAGACAGAAGTTCAGTGCAATCTGAGGCAGCAGTCAGACTGAGGAACACAGTCTGAGGACAAAATTGCCGCTTTGGTCTGAGCATTGGTTGAGGTAAGAACTTTAGTTCTTAGTTAAAGCTGGCCATTCTGCTTCTCTGATCTTTGGGCAAGCTTTATTTGTTAAAACACAAACAAAGTATCACCACATGGGGGGTTAGTTCCAGGAACATGAGTGACCTGAAAACAACCACATCTCTCTCTCTCTCTCTCTCTCTCTCTCTCTCTCTCTCTCTCTCTCTCACACACACACACACACACACACACACACACACACACATACACACATCACACCACACCACACACACACAATCTCACCACAGCATGGATGAATGGATAGAACCCACTCTCCACAGTTAATCTCATACTCTGAATACTCTAGCACAGCCTGAGACCATGGGTGACTGGGATAGAATTATATGCAGTTGGCAAAGAAGCACAAAATGGAGACATTGATTCTCAGGTGAGAGTCTAATGACCGTCTATATCCCTTCCTTCCACGAGGGAGTATCAACATAGGCTTGGTGTTGATGGTCTCCCCCATGGACGAAGAACAAAGGAATTGGGCTGGAGAGATGGCTCATTAGTTAAGAGCATTTGCTGTCCTTCAAAAGAGCTGGGGTTCTGCCTCCTAGGCACCAGAATTCCCATGCACATACCCACATGTAGGGACACACACACACACCTACACATGATTAAAGGCCCCGTTTGTGGCTCAGGAGAATCAGAATTGTGAAGTCGGTTTTAAATTAAGTTAATTTTATTATGACAAAAACTAAAAATTCCAGTACATTTATAAAATTGGCAAGTTAATTCTAAACCATCTATGGAAATAAGGTTCTAGAATAACCTCCCTGCGGTGGTGGCACATGACTTTAATCCCAGCATGCATACTCAGGAGACAGAGGCATGTGGATTCATGCGAGTTTGAGGCAGGTGGATCTCTGTGAGTTCTGGTCTACAAAGTGAGTCTCAGGACAGCCAGGATTGTTACACAGAGAAACACTGTCTCGGGAAAAACAAAAGAACCTAAACTAACCAACATGATTCGAACAATAAAATTATAGGACTCACACACCCTGATTTAATACTTATTATAAAGCTATAGTCATCAGGTAGTGTAATATTGGTACATAAGGAGGCATACAGACCAAAGAACAGGCTAGAGAATTCAGAACCAAATGGAATATGGTTGTGAGATGTTTGACAATGATGTCAGAATGACCTTTTCAATGATCAATAGAAATGAGAAAGAGAAGTTCAACCCTTACCTTACATTATACACAAACTAAAGTAGATCATAGATAGAAATATCGATATAAGAAAGTTTAGTGTTTATGTTAGATAAGACACCCAAAGCACAATCTATAAGCTCATCAATTGTTACATTGAATCTCATTAAAATTAGAAAGAAAGAAAACCTGAAGCTCCTCATGTTAGTGCACATGTGTGTGATCACAATATTCAGGAGGTCAAGGCCAGAGGATTGTGTGTTTAAGGCCAGCCTGGGCTGAACAATAAGACTCTTGCTTCAAAGAACAAACCTAACTTCCAGTTCCTTTCCCAGTGTCCTGGTGGCCACAAAGAAGGAAGATAGACCTAGGCCTTACAGCATTGAAGTCTGTTATAACTGTGGACTGGGGTCTAAGAGGCCGGACTCTCTCTGTATGCTGGGATAATCTGAGAATTAAAGGGGGATGATTGTGGAGTTCGGGACAGTTGCAGCAACTGCTAAAAATACCTGGAGGAAATCTTTCTTATCTTTTGAGAGAGTCATTTTTTTAACTGAATAAAAATAATAAATAGTAAAATACTAGAATTGTTTGCTCTTCAAAAGACTGTTGAGAAAGTAAAAAGAAAGCCCTAAAAGGGAAGGAAATGTGTGTAAAAATCTCTCTCTCTCTCTCTCTCTCTCTCTCTCTCTCTCTCTCTTTCTCCCTCTCTCTCTCTCTCTTTGTTCTCTGTCTCTGTCTCTCCCTCCCTCCTTACCTCCCTCCCTCTCTCCCTTTCTTCTTCTTCTTCTTCTTCTTCTTCTTCTTCTTCTTCTTCTTCTTCTTCTTCTTCTTCTTCTTCTTCTTCTTCTTCTTCTTCTCCTCTCTTTTTGTAAGTTTTCTCTGTCCTCCCTCCCTTCCTCCCTCCCTCACTCCCTCCCTCCCTCTGTCTCTCCCTGTCTCTGCATCCCTGTCTCTGACCCTCCCTCTCTCTCTGATGCTACAGATTGAATTCAAGCCTACTATGGTGTGCGTGTGTGTGTGTGTGTGTGTGTGTGTGTGTGTGTGTTCTACGCCTGAGCTACCCTTAGTACTGATACTGTATTGTAACTGGAATATGTAAGTACATTTATACTCTGTAACAACAAATATACAGACATAAGCTGAGAATTCCTAATCTGAAAACCTGAAATCTGAAATGCTCTGAAATCAGAAACTTTTGAGCAACAATGTGGTGTCACAACCGGAAAGTCGCTCGCATGATCTAATGTAACGGGTGACAATCAAAACACAGGTGCTTTAAAAAATGTCGTCTAAAACAGATTTCTGGCTATGTGCTTAGGACTTTTGTGAACCACAAATGAATTCCATGGGTCATTTCCCCAAAATATCTCATTATGTGCACACAAATATTGCAAAGTCTGAAACGGGAGACGCTGCTTGTCCCAGGAATTTCAGGTAAGACCTACCCAACCCATAAGAATGCGAGAAGACACTCTGTCAAAGATGTATAAGTGGCATGGGCAATGATACCCAACATTGACTGTGACAAGGACACAAACAAGCTAAGCTTCAATTACCAGTTCGACTGTAGTTAAAAGGCGATGATATTTTGTAGTGGTGGTGATGTGGTGTGACTGAGGATCTGTAAGCAATGCTCACACGCTATTAGCGGGGTTTATGACACGGCACTGCCACTTCGAAAAATAATGACAACTTCTTATAGCACTAAAAATAGATATCACACCCCTCACTAACCTTACTTGTAGCCTTTTTATATGTTTATGCAAGAGAATGAAAGCATATCTTTATGTAAGCATTTATATTGAATTATTTGTAGTGGTTTCATTTATAATAGCCCAAACAAGACACGGTCATATACGCCCATCAACTGGCAGCTGGGTAAAAGTTTGGCTTATCCTGATGTGTTAGTCAGGTTCCCTAGAAGAATAGAACAGATGGAATGAATGTACATGTATTAAAAGGGGACTTATTCGGCTGTGGTCTGGTTAGTCCAACAATGGCTGTCTTCTGACACCATTATATCTAGCAACAGATTATTGTTCTCGAAGTAAGAAGAATTAAATATTGGTACACACACTGGCATGGAAGATGCTCACCGCTTTCTCCAAGGAAGAAGTCATTCAGAAGAGTAAATACTGTATCACCCCTTTAGAGCAGGTTCTGGAAGGGGAGCACAAAAGTGATTCAACAGCAGTGGGTGGTTGTCAGGGCCTGAAGATGGGAACGGGTTGGGTTTGAAGGGAGAGGAGAGATCCTCATGGGTCATGGAAGATGTTCTATGCTCTGCTTGAGTACATAAGTATATGTGTCAGTCAAAAATCAAATGATTTGCAATGGGTTTTATTATATTAATTAAGCTTCAATAAGGGTGATTTAAAAACTGTTACCATTAATACATTTTTTTTTCACCCGTGAAACTGGCAGAACCCTTCAAAGTTTGCCAATGCATTGCATGAGTAAAACCTGGAAGTCCAGGTGCTCTTGGATTCTGTGGGTGTAAGACAGATCATATTCATCCAGATGACTGCTTGCTTTATCAGTTAAAGTTGCAAATGCATATAGTCATACACCCAGCTATCTTGTTTCTTGTACTCTAGTCAAAAGAAAAGATGGAAGACTATATTTAT